TATATATATATATATATATATATATATATATATATATATATATACACACACACACTTCATGTTCGTTTAAAATATACTATATGTATTTCAAATAGCAACAAGTTTGTTTATCATCAATCACCTTAAGAACTTTTTACAAAAGTACAAAATTAAATACCACAAATTCTTAAACAAGAGAATATTTTAAAAAATAATAAGTAAAAAGTTGTGATTTTTTTAAAAAAACCTGTCCCAGAACAATGGCTGTGTCTGTGTTCTTCAAGTCAGGTGTCATATTACTGAAATCTGGATGCCCATTATACCACCAAACAAATTCTCTAGCAGAGTGTATACCTTTCAATTCCTAAAATAAGTTCATGAAAATAATAAAAAATTTAATAAATAAACTCATGAGATTTCTGAAATGAGTAGTGTCAATAAGTCAACAAGTCAACAACCAAACATACCTCTCCTTTAATGCCAAGAATTCTGTCACTTTCAGCACCATAAGCAAGCACAACCTGATTGATGATGATGATATATGATGATAAAGATCAAAGATTAAAGAAAGAAAAAAAAACTCAAAAAGACGTTATTGACCTTGTTTGTCAACTTACCACATGATAAATTTGGCGTAGCTCAGATAGAGAAATGGAGGATCCAAGAGACACGTTTCCAAAAAATGAGCATCTTTCATTCTGTGCAACTCGTGAAAATTGGTTGATGACAATCTGTTGCAAGGTTTCTGGTCAACTAGATCAATTAAGATGATATTTTCAAGAAAAATAAAATTAAAAATACATTCTTGAATCTTGATCTATTATTATTATTATTATTATTATTATTATTATTATTATTATTATTATTAATACCTTTGTTTCAGGGTGATCAGGTGCTACCCCTGAACGGACTAATCCAAATGGTGTTGGCAATCTATCAATGATGTCAACTTCTGCTCCTTCATGTGCTTTCAGCATCTATTAATGTATTATCAAAAGTAATTAAAGTTCATATATGATTTGGAATCATTAGAATAATACAAATTATTTATGTTCATAGTAACAAGAAGTTCAAATTGATTAATTTAAAAACATACAAATTAATCTTCTAACCAACAATTTGGCAAACTAGCTGAAAATCTAGCTTTTAGCTGGAAAAATAGCTGGTAGTTGATAAGCATGTCTATGAATTAATAGTGTTTGGTAAAAAGTAGCTTATAAGCTAGATTGCAGTGTAAAATGACATAAATGGACATTTAGATATATAGCTAAAAGAAAAGAAGAATAGATATAACTAAGGGGGTAATTGGAATATTTTTGAAAAAGCTCCATAAGCTTATCAAAAGCTATCTCAAAGTAGCTTATCAAAAGCTAAAAAAAAAAGCTACTTTTGTGGTTTTACCAAACAGTAAATTACAATAAGCTAGCTTATTTTTGCCAAACAGGGTCAAAATCTGATTATCCATTTGAGATTGGATTCAACAATATCTATATAGTGTCCATTTCTTCATGTAACCCTTATAAACACACAAACACACACACACACACACCTTCTCAGCAGTGTAAAAACCAGCAGGACCACTGCCAACAACACAAACACGCAATGAACGAGAGGTAGCAGACGAAAATTTCCTAGCAATCATTGTTCTCTAACCTCTTCTTCTTTATTCTTATTTTATTCCTGTGTAAAGAAATGCAAAATAAGTCTAAACCAGCATAAATAAATAAATAAAGCACCAATATTTACAAACAGACAAGGAATACAAGATTGCATATTTAACTTTACTGGTTGACAAGAATGAACG